CTTGTACTCCCAAGGCCCAACCAAGTTTTCGTCACAAAGAAAACCATTCCGGAAGAGGGAGGGATAAAAACATGTGAATGTATAAACATGTGGTGTCAAATGCAACGCGAGCTCAGACTTGTTTTGGAGTGAACAGCCCAAATCCGAAGTACGCAATTCTGAAGAGGGCACATGCCTTTGGCATATGACAAGAGGCGAGATATTCAACGACCCCCCATGGTAGACGAAGGCCCGGTTGCTTCATCCCCAGTGGGATTTCTCAAAGCGTACTTTGGCACTCGAGGGCTGCTCACCTGAAGCTGATCTCAACTCCTGAAGAGTCGATGGCATCTCCTCTCAGCTATACCGATGTGGAAGCGGGCATAATCGACCCAGTAACCAACCCAGTCGACCTGAAGCCCCCCTCTCCACTTGTGATCCGAAAAGGGGGTACCTTGCACGCAGAGCAGGGCCAGCATCATTCATATGTTTATCCAGCGGTTGCGACCTCCACTGACCAGGTGAAGATCATCCGCGTAGATGAGCATGAAGATAAAGGTCTCCAGTAGCACTCGAAAAGAAAGCCGGCCCACCAATCCAGTGAGTCTCGAAAACCAGTAGGCCGCAGAAGCCACTCCGAACGTTCCTGTTTTATTTATCCAAAGCACCTGAGACTCCGAGTGAGTCCTACAAGCAAGGACTCCCCATTGCTCCGGGTGATGCAAGTACCTCCTATGGGCCTTAGAAACATCACCCACAATTCCAAAGAAAACCTTTTCGTCAGACGAGGACCCCAGCTTCTGTATAGCAGCAACCTCCCAGGATCCAGGAGACTCCAGACGATCCTTCATCACAATCTCGTTGTTCACCTGGACGCCGTGGGTGGCGTCATGAACCACTCGAAAATCAATGTCCGGTTTTGGGATCACCGCCTGTGCCGCTATCCTCAACTGGTTGCCAGGGTACCTTTTCTTGGCTTCTCCCAAAGATAAAGGGAACATCCTGCCTTCCCGCTCTTCCTTTTCAAAGGCCTCTTGCAGAGAACGCTCCACCTCCGGCCCTTCCCCGTGGTTTCGCATCTCCGGTTCCCAGGAAGAATCATCGTACTTCTGATCCTTCCTCCTCAGGCGATAAACTTGAGGGACAGGGCCCAAAGGACGTAAGTGCCCAACTTCAACGCCGTTGCAGAAACAGTATTTTCCCTGTTCGACAATCCCGAAGTCGGGGTCCTCCAGAATCTCCAATGTTTGAGCAATAGCCCTCAAGAAAAACGGTTGCCCCGGTGTCACCTCCTTGGCCCTCTCAGGATCAGGTAACATCCGAAACCAGTCTTCACGCAGAGTGTCAAGCTTGTCCTTCGGGAACAGTGGTCCATCCCATTTCCCTGTCGCCAGCCGAAAAGTGGCCCTCGCCACATCAGGAACGCACTCCAGTACACTTTTTTGCACCCTTCCTCTGAGGCCTTCCGCAAAGCCCCGGGCCGAATCCGAGAGGCGTCGCCCCCGATTTGAAGGCTTCCAGCGTCCCGGAGAGCACCTGCCAAAGCCATCCACGAACTCATCAACATTGCCAGAGAAGTTTCCCACCATAGGCGGCCCCTCGCATCCAGACCGCAGTTCACTAAAAGGAATATCATCCAGAGGCGGTTCCTCCAGCGCTTCCGCTGACGTACGCTTCTTGGTCCCAGGCATAAAGAAACCCATATCCAACAACGTCTGTCTAGCCTCCGGGCCCAAGCTGCCGTCACCCGAGATGGAATATCCTGCCAGAACCAGCGGTGAGGGTCAAAGATAATCTTCCCTTGATCCCAAGGAATCACCACGCCAAAGAGCTGAGTCTCCCCCAGGGTTCGCACCACATTGCCGCCGTCTGACTGGCACCACAACTCGCCACCTGTGAACGACGAGCAAGCCAGAAGGAGATTATCGTAAGCGCCATTGGTCGTATCCTTGTGAAGTGGTTGGCAGATATCCCGGAACAAAGCCAGTGAAGTGAACGCCTTTCCAGGGAAGGATTCTTCCAGCAGTCTGGCCAGTAACCTCGTGCAGAGAGGAAAGCTTCTCACATTCCTTCGCAGGCCCTGTTTTTCCCGATGGCAGAAAGCACCTGTCGAAAAGGACCTTTGACCGCGTACCACAACTGCAGAATCCCGGACCCGATCTTCATCAGGCAACAACTCGGATATCTTCAGAAGTTGACTCTCAGTCACGTGTCCAGCCTGTAAACAGAGTGCCGCTAACTGCTCTGCCTCCGATCCAGTCTGGGGTTGCAAAACGTGTTCCACCTGGCGAAAGGAGAAGGAAATGCCTTCCCCAGATGTGTCAAGTTTGTCCGAAGTATTGCATTCCGCATCGAAGACGGAGAAAACCCAAGCCGCGATTTGTTTGCATAACATAGGTGGATAGGCAGCCGCGGGGGTGGTGCGCCACCCCCCCTGTGGAAGCTGTCCCAAGAGGGCTTCATGGCG